TCTTTGTTTTTCTGGTGTTTTCTTGCCGTTGCCTGTGAATCTGGGAACGTTTTGGTGTTGATTTTACAACGGGTTTTTCCAAATTTTCTGTTTTGGGTCTGAGCCTTTGGGTTTAGGCTCAGTGCCCCTGGCTGGTATGCTTGCTCCCACACCTTGTCCCTCAGTTTTCGGTCTGTTGGGACCGTTTTCCCAGGGGGTTCTGCTGGGGGCTGTGCTTTGCCTTTCAGTGGTGTTCTCCGCTGGCAAATGTGGTGGTTTGGGCTCCCCCTGGTTCGATTCTGGGTTCCTTTGGGTTCCTTGGTTTCGTTCCAGAGGTTTCTTCCTCTTGGGCCCCCTTTTGTGGGTTCAGGGGACTTTGTTTCCTCGTGTGACCCGGTTCTGCCTTCTGGGGTTCCGGGGTCTTCCTGGCTTGCAGACTGATCTTTTTGGGTCTTGGCACATGTTGTGGTTGTGCTGGGACTTTGCGGTTTTGCTGTCGAGGTGGGCCTTTTGATGCAGTTTTGTGCCTTCTTTGCCTGGCCGGCGTGGTGCTCTCTGCCCACTAGTCGGCGACTTGTACTTTTACAATATATGTCCTCACCTAGTTGTGCTTGCGGGGGTTGAGCTCTGGCTCTTTGGTCCCGCCTCTCGACCGTCTATCAACAGGTGTATCGGTTCCTGTGCCTATTGGGCTCTATCATGTCTACATGTGACATTGTATGGGGGTCAGCCTTGTTACTTGTGTGTGGAGTCACCACATTACTTTCTAGTGCTTTCCCGTTACCATTCTAACACTAAAAAAATAAAAAAAAAAAAATTCTATCTCTGTGGCTCTTTTGGGTACTCAGTTTCCTCCTGTGTCCCCTAGTGTGTGTGCCCCTTGTGTTACATAACCTGTCCTTATCAACCCTGTCGATTCCCTTGGGTATCTTGAATGTGGTGATCAGGTCTCCCCCTCACTCTTCGTCTTCCAGCGAAGTGTGGTTTCATTCCCGTATTCTCTCCTCATGACTTAGGTAGTGTACTTTTTCTTTCGGAAGGGGTTCTGTTCCCTTCTCTATTGACTGGGCGCTGGGGGAGCAGCTTGCTCTGTTGCCTCTCGCGTGGTCCCACTATTGGTGTGCGTTGTGGGTTGTCTTCCGGCTTCTGCTGGCATCGGAGGACGGCTTCTTCCCCTTGGGGGGGTTCTGAGCTGGGGGGTGGGCTTCTTCCCTTGCGCTTCATCATTTCCTCTTCGTGGGTGCGTGGGACGTGGTCGATCCGCCCCATCCTTCTGGGGTTCCTGTCTGCTCTTTGCAGTCATGAGCTTTTCCCGTCTGCAGTTCTTCTGGACTTCTTCAGTCTGCGCCATGGATCCTATGCCCTCCTCGGAGGACTGTTGTCTCCTGTTCGGATTCTGTTGGGGCCGGGTGCATGGATGGTGGCCCTGGACCTCCAGGTCACTTCTTGGCACGTTCCTCTCCAGTTTTTCTGGGACTAGCTCGGTTGGTGGTGGGGCTTCAGGTTTGCTGTTTTTATTGCCTTCCCTATTTTGTAATGGGCACTTTGTATACTTTTTGCATCTTTACCGGATCTTAGTGCCCTGTCTGAGTCTGCTTGGGATTCGTTGTCTGGCCTACCTCGACGCCTGGCTGGTGTGGGCTCCCAGTCAGTCCGCTTGTCTGCTCGCCAGGGGATGGTTCTTTCCAGATCACCGGGTTTGGTGTCCTGGTGATCTGGAGGTTTTTCCATCTGTTTCCGTCTCGGGTTCGGACCTGGTCCTTGTTTAAGGCTCTTGGGCCCCTCATTGTCTTCCCTCCAGAAGTGTTACTGCGGCTGTGGTCCCGCCTTCGGCTGTTCAGGAGGGGGTCTCGGGTTGCTCAGCGGTTGCTTGAGCGGTTGTGCGGGAGTCTGCACTTCGGGGTGCTTGTCTGCCCGTGGAGTCGGGTTTGGCTACGGCGTCTGTTGGTTCCTGCGGAGACTCCCCTTCCGCCTCTTGCATTCATCGGGTTCCTTCGGGGATCTTGTGTTGGTGCTGCGTCACCAGCTTCCTCTTTGGGGTTTTCGGGGTTCTGTGCCTTGGCACCTCCCCGAGCCTTCGCTCGATGTGTTCACGGATGGGTCGTCTCTCGGCTGGGGCTTTGTGACCAGTGCTCACCAGGTCGGCCGAGGTTGATGGAGTCTGTCTGTCCGTCGGGCTCACAGCCCGGTTCGGGTGTTTATGGCTGTCTGGTTTGCGCTTCGGAGGGTTTGGGTCACTAGGTACTCTACCATTCAGCTCTATTCGGACTGTTCTCTGGTGGTTCTTGCCGGAACCACAGGGGTTTGGCTAACCGTGAGGTTTGTGTCCGGGGTCGTCTGTCCGAATCGGGGTGTCCGAATCATCGCCGATTCGTTTTGTTGGCTTTGTCGGGCGTATGGACTCCTGGCCATGGACGTCTTTGGGTCAGCGTGGTCTAGGCGTCGCCCATTTTGTGGCGCCCTTTCCCACCTGCGAGGACTTCACGGTGGATGCTTTCGGCAGGACTGGTCGAGGTGGGGGGTACCTGTTCCTCTTCTCCCAGTCCAGCTGTTGCTTCGGATTCTGGCTTGGTTGCAGCACTTTCCCACGAGAGCAGTCCTTATGGTTCCGTGGTGGCCGGCCCGGCCTTCTTTTCAGAAGCTGCTTGATAGGTGTCCGTACCCGGGGCGTTTTTCCTGAGGCTCCGCCTCTTTCAGCAGGCCGAATCGGTCCTGTCCGTGACTGGTTCGGCCTTCTCCTTGGCTCTTCGCGTCTGGTCTTTTGACGCGGGTATCACCATCTCTATGGTGTTCAGGTGGCTTTGTTGACGGTGTCCCATCTGCGAGCTTCGTCTTGGCGACAGTTTGACGTTTCATACATTTTCTCGTGGTTTGCTTCCCCTCCGACCTGCTCATGCGTCGCCTGAGCCATCCTGGTCCTTGTTCAGGGTGCCTTCTTATCTTCCCCTCAGTTTGTGGTAGCCCCTTTGGTTCAGTTTCCTGCTCTTTGGTACTGGTGGTAGCTTTATAGGTGTGCAGCCATTCTCTGTCCTGACGACGGTAGAGACGGCAGCTTTCCGGAGGGGTTCTTGGGGTATTGGTACTTGATTGGTTTGGCCGGGGGGTGCGTCCTGTGTTGTCCGGTTGTGCTTTTTGCTGTTGCCGGCGTACCGTGTCTGGGGATGCGCTGTGGTTGATCCGGTTCCTTCGTTCCCTGTTTTCAGGGCTCGGGTCTCCCAGGTCGTCCGCAGTGTTTTCATTCTTCCCGCCTGCGGTCTGTCTTTGCGCCCATGCTGTTCAGACGTTTGCAGCTTTTGCTGCTGTGTTGGTGACATCTCGGGCTCAATTTGGGCGCAGGGATTTGTGGGTCGCACAGGTTCTTGGCCGCCCATCCTTATGCGCGTCTGCTCTTGGGCATTCTTGTTGCCTTGGGTCATAGGTTTGCGACCGGTTGTCTTGGCTTTGCGTTGCAGAGTTTGTGGCGGCCACCTTTCGGGTTAGCCCTTTCTTTTCCTTCTCTTTGGGTATGAAGCTCCAGGGAGCCGTAGGGGCTCCCCACAGAAAACCAGCGTTGAATGTAATGAAACGCCATTTTCTGGGTGAGCCCCGGAGGCTCCCTGGCAACCCTCCCTCCCACCGGTCGGTGGTTTTTTCGCATTGGTTGAAGCTTAGCTTCCGAACTGGAGCTTGGCAGCCGGCGCGGTAGGTCCGGGGCTCCCCCTTCCCCCTCCCGGGGAGGGGGGAGCTGCGCAGACAGCGGCGCGGCGGTGTGTGACGTCACACTAGTTTGCTTGTTTTCGTTTGGGGAGTTCTTTCCACTAGTTCGGCTTTTGGTAGCAATTTTAACCAGAATAGGGGTTTGTTTTGAGGCGCTTACCTTTCTGGGTGCCTGTTCCGGTCGATGGCAGACATAGAATGCTTCCAACCACACGGGGGCTTCTATAGGCCATTGCTTCCCTTGCCTCTCTGAGGGGGCCCGGTTCTGGCCGTGGTCCCCGGTAAGCCTAAGAACTCCATACACATGACTAATGCCAAAGTCTGACATTAGCATATCAGCCTGGGATAGCTCCGGGGAACCTCCGGGACTCACCCAGAAAATGGCGTTTCATTACATTCAACGCTGGTTTTTTGACAGTGTAAATGTAGGATAATACTGTATTTGTTTTTTTGTATTTTTTCTATTGTAATGTACAATATACAATTTTGGGTGACAACATTTAAAGAGTATGGTAGTTTTTTGTTTGTTTAATACAGTCTTGGTCACATCAGTCGGATGTTAGAAATGTATGAGTAGTGATAGGTTAAGACAAGAATGCTTGTTACATGCTGCTGTCAGTCAGGTAGAATGTACAGTAGTGCTGATGATGGCCAGAGATGGAGAGCTTGTGTTAGGCCTGGAGCCAAGAACTGAGCTTGAGCAAAGCGAAGGAGGATGAGAGCATAGAGCTCAAACAAGGGCAGGATAGGAGAGCTTGAATACGAGATGAGAGCTCATAGCTCGAATAAGGCTGGAATTGGCCACCTGCTCTATAGCAAAGCTGTAGTGTCTAGTTTGTGAGTTGGAACTAGACTGGTTGAATGTAACATCATATGCTTTTGAATCTCGATGGCATCGGTATATCTTGTGTTTGTCACTGAACCACTATTGGAGTTAGAATGATGAGGCTTCATTCCTGATCGGCTCACACTAATGATTCACCTGAACTTGTGTTCGACACAGTTTGCTTCTAACAAGTTGATCATCATTTGGCCTGATGGGAAACTTTCTGTTTTTTTTTTGCTTTCCTAAGAGATTCTTGGAAACATTAGGGAACATGTATTAATGTAATTACAGATGTCATTAATGGTTAGTGTATATGATTGCAAATGTCATTGGTGATTATGTTGGTAAGTAACTAGCACATTACTGTATTACTGTGATGATTAATTAATGTGGTATGCATGCTACACTATAAAATTAGGCTAGTTTTACTTTATGAATGTAGTACTGTATTATACTGTATAAATGTTCATATGTATTTAATCCTCCATTTCCTTTACAGCAAGTAGGATGTGACCTAATTTTGGGATCATCAAATAAGGAGGACAAGTGCAGAGTTTGTAATGGTGATGGGTCAACATGTAACACAATCACAGGGGATTTCATGCAGAAGACACTAACTGTTGGATATAATGATATTGTCCTAATTCCTGCTGGTGCTACTAATATTTATGTAGAAGAAGTGAGGGCCTCTAATAATTATTTAGGTAAGTCACTAAAGAGAATTGATCAGTTCTCAGATGTAACCTGTGTAAATAAAAAATTTAATTAGTGAATAAATGACACCAAAATCAAGTTTTGCTGATAAATATGTTCATCTCACTCCAAATAATTAACATCTGTATGATTTTACAGCTGTCAGAAACATGACTGGCTTCTTTTTCCTTAATGGAAATTGGAGAATTGATTTCCCAAGAGCAAGGAAATTTGCTGGCACCACCTTCCATTATGAAAGGAAAGCTGATGGCGTTGGAATCTTTGCTCCTGAGGTTCTGCGTGCTCTTGGACCAACAACAGAACCCCTCTTCATTGTGGTAAGTGACAGACTTATTGAATATACTGTATATTGAAATACAAAACAAAAGAGGACATAGTTCTGAAAACATATTTTGCAAAGAGTCCAAAAGTTAGTGATATCATTGCATAGTAGTGGCTTCATTTTGAGTGTCCCATCTACTTATAACAATACCTCTCTTGTTCTTTGTAAGAAAATTATTATGAATAAATTATTATTATTATTATTATTATTATTATTATTATTATTATTATTATTATTATTATTATTATTATTATTACACAGAGAAATCATATTAACATTGTATATCAATGAACAAATCCACAAGAGCCTTGATGAGGGTTTGAACCTATGTACTAGAAAAAAAAGGGTCTTTCTGTAGGGAGCCCCTACGGCTCCCTGGAGCTTATCGGGCTAATGTATGTTATATTAGACTGGGACATTAGCTAAGGAGTTCAGACCTACCAGGGACCAGCGCCAGAACCTGGCCCCTTCAGAGAGGTTTCAGGGAGCAATGGCCCTGGAAAACCCCTTTGTGGTTGGGGTTTTCCTTATCTGCCATCGACCGGGGTTAGGCACCCAGAAAGGTAGGCATAACAAAACAAACCCCACATGGTAAAAACTAAAAAACTAAACCAAAAACCGAACAGAGAGGTAGAAACTCCCTACAATCACAAGGAAACAAGCAAACAAGCAAACATCACACTTTACTGCCGCGCCGATCATCCGCGCAGCCCTCCCCACCCCGAGAGGGGGAGGGGGGAGCCCTAGACCTACCGCGCCGGCTGCCAAGCTTCAGTTCGTTCGCTAATATGCACCGGGATAGACACTTCTCTGGCTTCAGTTTCCTAGGCGGTGTTTGCCTTGTGTGGCATTCACTGCCGTGTGTTGTGTTGTGCTGTGGCCAGGAGTATCTCATCAGTGCCAGGGCTGCATGTGCTTAGTGGCTGACTTCCCTAAGCACCCTTGTGAGCCCTGTGAGTACTGCCCTTGCATAACAGGGGTATCTTCCCTGGGGCGTTTGGGAACCATTCCCGTAGAGGTTCTTGCTGCTCGGCATTTGCCTCGCCCTTGGGGCCAGCTGGGGCTTGGGGCCCTTGTTTGGCCCTGGGTAGGGATTGGTATTGTGCTGGTTAGGGCGTCAAGGTGTTGCACAGCCTGCCACCTAAGCGGAGGCCGGTTCCTGTTGCTTCTGGAGACGGTGTACTTTTGCGGGGTTTTTCTATTGTTTTTATTTTCATGCCTGTTGGGGGGTTTGCCTAGTGTGGCTATAGTTCCACTGGTAGTGTTTGGCGGCCCTCTGCTAGGCCCCCGTGATTGTACACGTCGCAGGGGTTTTCAGTGCTATCCTCTACCCTCTTGTTATGTTTGGGTTTCTCAACCGGTTAGCAACACCTTGCCCGGGTTTCCCGTAGTTGTTACCCCTTCGGGCCCTGGAAACCACTGTCTGGGCTCGGGGGACCATTGAATGTGTCTTCCGGGTTCCAACCCGTCTTGTACGGGATTGTTGGTTGCTGTGCCCTTGTCTCCGGGTGACAGTCGCCATTTTTACCTCCGTCATGCTGCCTGTTGGGTCACTGATACCTTGACCAAGAGTCTTGCGAGAGATTCTCTGCTTGTTCTCCAGTACTCTCCTGATGTTATTACTGTTCAGAGTACAGGCAGCATCCGTGTTGTAAGCTAGGTTAGGTTGCTGCAACACGCTAGGTTGGTTTCCCACTCAGATGCCCCGAGGCCGCCCCGTTTGGTTAGGTGCTGTTCGCCCCTTTCCCTCCCTGTTCCCGGCTTCGGTCTGTCTGTGGGTTTCGGGGTTGGGGCGGGGTTTAGTTGGGGCAGAGACTCGGGCGGTTTTCGGGGGTTGCCCCACTCGGGTTGGGGGACGGAGGTTTTCGAGCCTGTTTCTCCTGCCAAGGCTTCTGGGTCTTACCAGCGGCCCTTTCTTGCTGCCTTTCCCATTGACTCTTGTTTTTCTTTAAGGGCGGAGGGCTTGGAGGACGGCTCTGCCCCGGGGCCTCTGTTATTGGTTTCCGGGGCTGTGGGGGATGCCTGCTAGCAGTTCTGGGGCGGTTTGCCCCTGCCTGGGTTTTCTGCTGTTGGGCAGCGTTTTTCGCCCATCCAGTCTGCTTGCTTCCTCCTTTTACTGGCGTGTTTTTTTATATTTAGCATCAGTCACAGCCCCTGCTGGCGGCCATTTTCGTCTGCCGGTTTCCCAGCGTTGCCACTAGGGCGGCGTTGCGGTTTGTTTACATGCGACTGGGTGTGCAAGTGAGCGTCTCGGGTGAGTTTTCAACTTTTTTCAGGGTTTTTTTATTCTCCTGTTGTCGTTTCTTTGCTTTTCTGGTGTTTTCTGCCCGTTGCCTGTTCCTCTGGGAACGTTTGGGTGTTGATTTTGCACCAGGTTTTCCATTTTTGTCTGTTTTGGGTCTGGGCCTTTGGGTTTGGGCACAGTGTCCCTGGCTGGTATGCTTGCTCCCACACCTCGTCCCTCGGTTTTCGGTCTGTTATGACTGTTTTCCCAGGGGGTTCTGTCAGGGGGGCTGTGCTTTGGCTTTCTGTAGTGTTCTCCGCCAGCAAAATGTGGTGGTTTGGGCTCCCCCTGGTTCGATTCTGGGTTCCTTTGGGTTCTTTGGTTTCGTTCCAGAGGTTTCTTCCTCTTGGGCCCCCTTTTATGGGTTCAGGGGACTTTGTTTCCTCGTGTGACCCGGTTCTGCCTTCTGGGGTTCCGGGGTCTTCCTGGCTTGCAGACTGATCTTTTTGGGTCTTGGCACATGTTGTGGTCGTGCTGGGACTTTGAGGTTTTGCTGTCGAGGTGGGCCTTTTGATGCAGTTTTGTGCCTTCTTTGCCTGGCCGGCGTGGTGCTCTCTGCCCACTAGTCGGCGACTTGTATATTTTTCTTTTACAATGTATGTACTCACCTAGTTGTGCTTGCGGGGGTTGAGCTCTGGCTCTTTGGTCCCGCCTCTCAACCATCAACAGGTGTACAGGTTCCTGAGCCTATTGGGCTCTGTCCTGTCTACACTGCCCAGACAGGTACAAGAGGAGTGTTGTTAATGGTTATGTCGACCGTGCTCTCAGCCACAGCTCAGATTGGAAGCAAGTCGATGAAGAACTCTGTAGGGTAAGGCAGGTCCTAGTCAACAACGGCTTCTCCAATGGTTTTGTTGAAGACATCATAAGAAGGAAGGTGAAACGCCATGCAACCTCTGAAGAGAGAACTAACACAACACCTATACCCCCTATTAGACTATTTTACAGGAACTTCTTTTCCACAGCTCATAAAACGGAGGAAAGGGTCCTGAAAGATATTGTTAATAAAAACGTTATCCCTACAGACAAAAATCAGAAGATACAACTGATGATTTACTATAAAACCAAAAAAACGGCCAACCTACTCATGAGAAACTCTCCAGACACAAAGCAGAACGCTTTAAAAGAGACCAACGTCGTCTATGCCTTCAAATGCCCACTTGGGGACTGTAAGCCTCAAAGAACTCAGTATATAGGCAAGACAACAACATCTCTTTCCAGACGATTAACGATGCATAAGCAACAGGGCTCCATTAAGGAACATATAATCTCTTCCCACAACCAGACCATCACCAGAGAAATCTTAGCAAACAACACAGAAATCATCGATAGATACAGCGATAACAGGCGGCTAGACATCTGCGAGGCACTACACATCATGAAGTCAACACCAAGAAGTTGACATAATAGCACTAGAGATCTGCTATGAGGATGATAAACTAATGATGATAAATGCATATAGTCCACCGCCAAGCAGCACATGGTCAAAGGAGGAGCTAGATAGTAAACGTGAAGGTCTTATAACAATAATGAGAGAGATTATAGCGAGAGCGGATAACGATAGATCACGACTGTTGATAGTCGGTGACTTCAACTTGAAATCCATAGACTGGGAAGCATATGAAGCTAAAACAGAAGATTTTTGGACCTGTAAATTTGTAGACCTCATCCTGGAAACATTCTTGTATCAACATGTTAAACAAGCTACGAGGATGAGGGAAGGGGACGTTCCCTCCATGCTAGATTTGATATTTACCAGGAAGGAGGAAGAGATATTTGACATTCAGTACCTTCCTCCCTTGGGTAAAAGTGACCATGTCTTTTTGGGAATAAAGTATGCAATGCGTTATAAGCTGGAAGAAAATAAGGAGGTTGAAGCAGTTGATAAACCAGACTTCAGGAGAGGACATTATGGTGACCTTAGAAATTTTTTTAGTGAGTATAATTGGACAGACTTGATGCTAGGCAAGGAAGTGAATGAGATGTATGGCAAGTTTTGTGAAATATATGATAAAGGCACAAAAAAATTTATACCAAAACAGAGATGCAGAACTAGGAAACAGGATTGGTTCAATAGAAATTGTGAGAGGGCTAGAGACCGAAAGACACAAAAATGGAATCAATACAGGAAGAGGCCGAACCCCCAAACATACCAGCGATACAAAGATGCGAGAAACAACTACACGGCAGTGAGGAGAGAGGCAGAAAGAAATTTTGAAAAAGGGATTGCGGACAAATGTAAAACAGAACCAGGTCTATTCTATAAATTCATAAACAACAAATTGCAGGTAAAGGATAATATTCAGAGGTTGAAAATGGGAAATAGATTCACGGAAGATGAAAAGGAAATGTGTGAAACACTAAACGAAAAGTTCCAAAGTGTGTTTGTACAAAATGAAATCTTTAGGGAACCAGATACAATAAGAATTCCAGAGAACAACATAGAACACATAGAGGTGTCTAGAGACGAAGTGGAAAAAATGCTCAAGGAGCTCGGTAAGAACAAAGCAGCTGGCCCAGATGGCGTTTCACCATGGGTTCTGAGAGAATGTGCATCTGAGCTCAGCATTCCACTTCACCTGATCTTTCAGGCATCCCTGTGTACAGGAATCGTAGCAGACGGGTGGAAACAGGCTAACATAGTTCCAATCTACAAAAGTGGCAGCAGGGAAGACCCCCTCAATTATAGACCTGTATCATTGACAAGTGTA